GGTTCAGTGAGGCGTAACCTTTTGCTGGTGGAGGGCCCTGCCTCGATGTTGACGGCTGCTCACTGATCGGGGTGGAGGTTGCTGAAGGTTGGGGTGGCCGTGGCAATTTCTTAGGGTAACAGTGGAGTCTGCCACATCCGTTGACTCTTCCTCTCAGGTATGATTTCTCTGTAGCGTAGGTGCTGTTGGACAGCATTTTGCCCACAGTAGATCTTTCAAGATTCGAGTCAGTCCTCCCAGAGGTGCTGCAGCCTTATCACCCGCGTTCACGTGATAGCCTGAATCCGTGCTGTCATTTCAGCAGCTTCACAGCGTCTTCGCCAGTAGATTTCATCTCCAGAAGCGCTTACTGTGTTCGTTCATTCAAGTGTCATCTCGACACTGCAGCAGTTCAGTCACATCACCCGGCTCCGCTTCCAACGCGCTCTTGCGTTTTTCACCACGTTTGCAGTTAGTTTCTTCCTCCACTGAGGCCTGAACCCCTCACAGTCACCCACAGGGTTGAAACCAACCTCCAGACTCCTGCAAGGTTGGTGGTTTACCCTCTTCCTGTGAATCACGAAGATTCTTCGTGGCATCTAGAAGGTGGATCCTTTCCAGAGCGTTTTCAATTTCCTTTGTCCAGACCCGTCATAGGAATCACTGTCTATGGCGGCTGTAGCCTTACAAGTGTGTTTCTTAAATAACTAAACTTGAAAGTCAGAATTCCTCCTTGATCTGTGGGCTGCGGGATGGATTAGTTAGCAGGCGAAACAACATTAATCTTGTGGGCATCTCCTTCCCAGTTCTTGGATGACCAGGTGCATTGGCAACGAGTAGTAATATTTTGAAAGGGATCTTTTTTCTGAGCAGGGCTCAGCAGTGGGCTTGAAATGTTCAGAACACCAGGCCGCTGACACGTGCTCTGTCACCAGGGAGGCTCTCCTGCTTGCTTCCTCCTGTGCTCTCCGCAGAAGCACTTTTCCTTCCCTTCAAGAGTCATCACTGTGCGTTCACAGCTGGGCTGACTGGTGCAAGAGGCCCAGCTTTGCTTGTCTCGGCCTCCGCACTAAGCTTAATCATTTTTAGCTTCTGATTTAAAGTGAGAGGTGTACAACTCTTCCTTTCACTTGAACACACAGAGGCCACTGTAGGATTACTAATCGGCCTAATTTCAGTATCGTTGTGTCTCAGCAAATAGGGAGGCCCTAGAGAGGAGAGAGATGGGAAACAGCTGGTTCCTGGAGCAGTTTGAACATGTATTTATCAAGTATGCCATCTTATATGGGCGTGGTTCGTGATTCCCCAAAACAATTACAATAGTAACATCATAGATCACTGATTACAGATCACCATGACAAATATATTAATGATCGAAGAGTCTCAACTATTGCGAGAATTACCACAATGTGACTCGGAGACACAAAGTGAGCAAATACTATTGGAAAGTGGCACCAATACACTCGATGCAGGGTTGCCACACACCTTCAATCTGTAAAAAGTGTAATATCTGCAAAGCATAAAAGGAAGGTATGCCTGTGTATGGCATGCTCAGAACAGGCAAATCCACAGGGGTAGGAAAGTAGATTAGCGGGTGCCAGGGCTGGGGGAAGGAGGAAATAGGGAGTAACTGCTGGGTTTCTTTTGGGTTTGAAAAGACTTTGGAGTGAGAAAATGGTGATGTTGCACCGCCTTGTGCATATGCTCCAAGCCACTGAATTGTGCACTTAAAAGGGGCATACTTAACTGTGTGTGACAAGCCGTAAAGTATGCCCCTTTTAAGTGCACAATTTAAAAATACTGTTTTACAAAGTTAGGTGCCTTACCTAAACGCGTAGTTGACCAAAATATGTTTGTGGTGGCTCAGCATACAGCACTCAGGCTTAAAGGAATGCAGAAACTCGAGAGATGGGTTAAATCTCTCAAGTTAGTCTTTTAGTACTGAGGAGTCTGTGTTAATTCTTTTTATTTTTCCCCCAGAGATTGTAAGAAAAAAACAAGTAAAATTAGAAACTTCTTAAAGTTAGCCATTCTTCTTGATCTGGTATAATGCTGGGGTTAGAGAAATTGTTCGGATTTTGTTTTCATAAAATGCTAGTTAACAGAATATGCTATGGTCTGTTGCTTTCCTGTGAAACTAGAGAGTTTAAAGTAAAGAAGACATGCTGACTTGAAAAACTTTGTTACAGTGGTTAATTTTATTTAAATAATGCTCTTACATTAGAGCAACCCGTCATACACTTGGAGGTTTTATCCAGTGGCTCCTTTGTTGTTTCCTTATTAGCAGGCTTCTNAGAGTTTAAAGTAAAGAAGACATGCTGACTTGAAAAACTTTGTTACAGTGGTTAATTTTATTTAAATAATACTCTTACATTAGAGCAACCCGTCATACACTTGGAGGTTTTATCCAGTGGCTCCTTTGTTGTTTCCTTATTAGCAGGCTTCTAACACTCAGTAAACTTAAAACTCTGCACAAACAAGCAACACTTGATTGGTAATTTTTTAAAGGAGAGTTATTCAAACTTTTTGATAACTTTGACATGAAAATACTATATATTTTTAGAATCTTGAACTTAAGGAACCTGGCTTGTTTTTTCATCACGTAATTAAAGAAAATT